GTGAAAGTAGTTATCCATTCATCAATGCAGACTATTTAGTAACTTTAGAATCAGATTATAAAACTATGAACCTATGTACTGTATGTTACTTAAGGAAACTTTTTTTTGTTTTTGTTAAATGTTTCTATATTTACAGGACATGTTTTTTTCCACCTAAATGCATCATCTCTGCCATCAGGCATTTGCATTTCCAAATAAACTCTTCTTCCTTAATGTAAATATAAATAATCCATGTTAAAAACAGAACAAAGAGGGAATGAAAGAGAGTCTGTCTGCAAAGATATAAATTCACTCGTGTCTAAACTTTGTCAGACATTCACTCATTCATCATGTTCCTCTCTGTGCTGCTGCTGTTAATCAGCGGCACTGAAGCAGCTTATTATGGTTTTGTTGAAACATATACTACGAAAGATTTAGTGAAAGATAGATTTTCAGTAAGTTATTTATTTTTTATTTCTTTATTTTCTTCAAAAAGAGTTTGGTTAATTACAAAAATATTGATCTCTTCATTCTAAATTTTCAGGTGACCTATCGACGCACGTTTAGCTTCAGCTCGTGTGGGGATGTTGATTCCTCTGGGTATTGTGGCAGCAGCTGTATAAAGATTGAGGAAAGCAGAGGCACATGGTGTCAGAAGCAGCATACCTGGATGATCTCAAGTGGTGGTATTTATTCATCATATTATGGGTGAGTGAACCTAAACTTCATGCAATATTTTGATGAATACATTTTTCCTGAAAAAATTTTAAATCTTATGTTTTTCATATGAGATTTTATAAGTTTGCCTAATTGTCTTTTTTGTCAAGTTGACTTTGATAACCTTTGCGCTTTATTAGAGATCTTGAACAACATCTTTAACCCTCTGAATATGTTCATTTACAGGTGGACTTCTCCACACTGGACAACTAACAGGAATGGCATTACAGCTTGGAGGGCTCGGTTTTACTATGACATGAGGAGCCGATCTGATATCAGCAAATCTAACTCATCACCACAGACCACCATCATCCCAGTTTTAAGGTCATTTTGGCTACGCTCACACTGCAGCCTGAAGTGACCCAAATTAGATTATTTTGGACCACATGCGACCTGTACATGTATCTGATCTTTTCATGTCACTCTGAACAACACAGATCCAATTTTTTCCAATGGGACCCAGGCCACTTGGCTATGTGGTCCTGAATCTGATACGAATCTGATCTTTTCAAATGCGACCTGTGTCTGAACGGCCAGGTCGCATTCATTCAACCTGAACGCCATTAATACCCGACAAAGGTCACTATTCTGGATCTTTATATGCAGAGGCAGGAAGAAAAACAACAATCATGGCAGATGATGATGCGGGGAGCAGTATTTATGTTTAACCATCTTGAAAAGATTGTGTTTTTATGGTTAGAAAAGATCGCTAGATGCGCTCCAGCACTACCATCCATGTTTACTTCTGGAAAAAAAGGGCACACTGGCCTGTGACGTCATTGCGTCCTCTACTGCGCATGCGGGACACTTGCGTCGTACGACTGCAGTTCACAAGGAGATCACATACAAGTCGCATGTATTTGGAAATATGAACGTCAGCACAAAAAATCGGATTTCACAAAAAAATCGGAATTGAGCTTCAAGGCCTGCAGTGCGAACGTAGCCATAGTCAGTTTTGTGTCACATAAGTGGAGTCTTTTCCCATCTACTAAAAACAAACAACAGTTTGTGTTTATTTTTTTGCCATTTTTTTTTTATTACGATAATCATTGGAGAAAACTTTAATATTTGTAGTGGTTGAGGGTTAACAGTATAATTACCAGAAATATTTGACTTGTGAATGTAAGAGCAAAACATTTAAATCAATAGAAATTAGCTTCCAGACAGTGATTAGCTGTTGCTCAGTAGCAAAGGATGAAACATTTATATTTTCTCCTGCTTCCTCAGAGTTCCTTCAAACTGTCAGAGAGATATTAACCTGTTGACCTTTGACCCTGATGGAGACGAGGTTAAATGCAGGTATGCCTCTTATTCTATAGAGTGCCACACCTGCACACAACCATCAGTCCTCAGCCTCTCCTCAGTAAGTATAAAATAGCGGTCATGATACCTTTGAAAGCAGCATGCGGTCAGCAAAGGTAAACAATCAGGTTTAATATGAAAACTTGGATATGTTAGGTTTATTATTTATACATCATGTGCATTGTTATTTTGTTAGCCAGATTAGACAGAGTAGAAGGCCTTCCTTCACATGGTGGATGTCACGGTGTGTACGGAGGTCATCTAATCAAGACAGCCTTCGTGTCTTTAAGAGTACACAGGATATGGGCACATCTTGGAGCCGGTCTGATAGAGGATAGCTATCTGTAACCCTGAAGTATAGAAGCAAGCTGCATGAAGTTCAACATCAACATGATGCAAGATATAGACCCATGAGCTATAAGAAGCAGGAGATGACCTTGTCCGGGGCTCAAACTTTGCCGGACGCTCGCGGACGTGATTTTTGAGACCACAGCTGTGCAAGCTCTAAGCATTTTTCTCTGTCCTGTAACAACCTGATCTGGAATAAACTCTGTTATATTTTTACTCCTGTTTTATAGTCCTTTTTATATGGTTTTACCCAGTTTGAGTTAAGAGTAGTAAATAACTTGCTCCCAGGAAAAGAACTGGTGAGGGGGCCCCCGGGGCGCTACAGCCTTTCTTCCAAGGGGACAAATCCTCCTCATTTTAACAGATATTATAACTAACCAATCATAAACCTGCACATTATCCTCCCATGGATCATCAAGCTTATTCTCTCCAGGTTTCCACTATCTTAGCGATTCACTGAGCTCTTCATCTCTAGGGGCCATTATATTCCTGAAGGATTCTTGGAGTTTGGATGTTTCATCTTTGATAATGAGTCTGATGGTCACTGGGCCTCTGCTTCCTTCCCTGTGTTTAATGTACACTGTAGCTTGAGGAGACTGGATTCAGTGTCCATCATACATGATGAGCAGTTCTCTTACTTTAAAATATGTGGTATGAATTTTTGTCTGTGTTCAGGTTATTGTTCCTACAGAGAATCTATTTTTTATTTAATTTAATCATTACATTTTTACTATGTATTAGGAACCAGGTGAGCAGGAGTAAACTAGTTACTCTAAAAGCATAACTGATTGCTCAGACCTTGTTCTCAGTATTGAGCTGACCTCTCAGAAATGGCCTTATTTGTTGCAGGGGTCTGGCTGTAGCTGCTTTCCTTCTCCATAGCTGCCATTAGCCTTTGGTATTCCAAGGTATTTACTGTACTGTCATGTTTAGAAAAGATCGACTCTGATTTAGGGCAACCATGGAGACAGATAAATAGTTTGAGGAAGTTTTATTTATAAGGTGCGGTTTATCAGAGACGGTGCTGGCCAGTTGGTCGTGTCTAGTTCTGCTGGGAAGGAAGAGAGCACTAGTGAGCAACATGCTGGTCTTGAATGAGAAGAGTTTTGTGCTCCTTTTGATCCATCCATCCATCCAATCATGATTTCCTTTGTTTGGATTTCTTCATTGCTACACAAAAGAAAAAAATAATCCAGAATTATTTAACCATAAAATTTATGGTTTACATCTTTACACCAAGCTGAGTCACTATTGCATGACCTTAGGCTTTAAAAATATCCATTGAGATTGAACTGAAACAAAAGAGGAAAGAAGGGCAGAGAAAATGCTGTTGGAAGAGAATATAAATGACTCATAATTAGTTGGTGGATTTATTTTCCCCTGATTAAACAAGATCATCTGCTGTTGAAGATGTTTCACTATTCCTGTTTACCTTATTTGATTTTACTTGTAAATGAACAGACCAATCAAATAGTGACTCTGGTATTAGTGGCCATTGTCCTTTCAGCCACCTTCTCATCACATGGTGCTACTATTGGGTTGAGGACTAAAGTCTCTGATCTATGACTTCGATTTAATGTTTGAAACTTGAGGCACAATGTTTTTAATATATTGAGGAATAAAGGTCAGGTCAATAAATAGGTAGATATAAGAAGGGAAACATTTGATATTCCCAGCCAGTGGAGTAAAACCCTCTGAAGGTTCTTCCAACTGTTATTGTATAATTATAAAACTAACAATATAACAAGAAAAATTGTATTTTTTCAAATTGGAAATATATGAAGTTTCAACTTCAATTTTTTTTTAGAAGAATTAGGTTTTGTAAATGTACAGTAAATCAAGAAGTTAATGATTGTATAACAGTACAGCACAGCAGCAACAGCAATGCAGTGTTACAGGCAGACTGGATGTTTGTCTGTTAACAGATTTGAACTTTATGTAAAAAAGTAAGTTAACAAAGTGCTTTCTCTTAATCTAGACCATTCTTCTTCTGTCTTCTTGCAGTCCTGTATTGTTTCATTCAGTCCAACCAGCAGCAGTGCAGTAGGTTCATATGCATTGCAGCTGCAGATGGAGGACTTTCCCAGAGAGGAAATCATTGTGACTGATAATAATGGTGCACAGAGTCATAAAAATACCACTACATATCTCAGCAGTGTACCTGTTCAGTCTGTTTTCACAGGTAAAATTACACACTTTAATGATTTTTTCCACATCCTTTAGACTTTAGACAGATTTTATTTGTCATTTTGTTTACACACCTGTAAAACAAAAACAAATTTAGTTTGGAAACAGCTCACTGGACAATTTCCTCTTTTAAAAGTGCAGCCTTGAAAAATAGTAAAAAATATTGTAAATTTACAGTTCTAACAATTTTTTTTTAATGCTTTTTATTTTATTTTCATCCATGGTGAGCTAAGAAAATTCGCCGTCTTTTAATTTCTGTCCAAATAAAGTCTGTCAGTAAACCTCTACAGATAAAAACATGGAATTGAATCTTGTTATGATGAAGGAAGTAAAAATAAATCAAACAACTTTAATCAGTGACTAAACATCAGATTTATTTACAGTAACTGTAGAGTTATTTGACATAAATCTCTGAGCAGACTAATTTAATTTCCATCAGAGGTTCATATCAGCATGTCTAACTTCATTTTCCTGCAATGTTCCAGTGGATCCTGCAGCACCATCCTGCACAGAAGGGGAATATCTGCCCAAATTCATGCCTCCAACTCCAGAACATGGAGCTCAGTTCTTCATTGATGTTCATCAGACTCTGGAAATCACCATCAAAGCAGAAGCAACTCAGGCTTTGTAAGTAAAAACTAAATATGCCATCTAATAGGAAAAGAAGGAGAAGGTTGACTCTGGAATGAATTACTTTCTGATAAAAACTGAATAACTTCAACCTAAACAAGCAAGATAGAATCTTAATATGAAAGGTTTATTTACAATAAAACAAAAAATGTTTTAGTTTTTTGGGGATGCAAATAGGAAATAATATGTAATTGAAGCTGTTTTTTTATCCATTACAGTTTTTCCAGCAGTAATATTTCTGGTGTGTCACAGGAATTGATTTGTGGTTTCAAGATTTTTTTCCATTATCATCAAACAGACTTTATGTGTTTCCTGTTTGTTGAAGGACCACTGAGCTCCTGTTCAGCGGGCCGGTTGGTGTGGTCAAGAATTCATCTGGTTCAGGATATTTCACCATGAGATGGACTCCATCTGAAGACGATAACAAAGAGAGCCACCCCATCTGTTTTGTTGTTCAGGCAAAGTCTGTATCTGATCTGATGGTCACAGTGTTTTAAAATGCAAACAAAACTGTCTGAATATCTGTCATGAAAAGGTCAAACTGACATATTTCCTAGTATTTCTCTTTAAATTTATAATTAGGTTTTTCCATCTAAATTGCTTAATCAGGCAGCATTCTTCAAATATAAAGATGCAACCATTGCAGAAATGCTTTAATATAATCTTACAGTGGTTAGTAATATTTTCTCACACATTGAAGAATCCTTGTTTTACATCCCAGCAAAGACTTTCCATGTTTTCAATGCTCATGTTTTCGAGTTTATTGGAGAATCTTGTGTATTTTTATCTTGTTGTTTGTCCTTTGTGGACTGCTGAGTTCTCCAGATAGAAGCCGTCCCTCCATTGATGGAGTTAGACAGCATTGAACATCTTTATCTGCAGATTAAAGTTCCTCTGCTAATTATCCCCACAGTGTCTCCAGTTCTGTGTACCAGTCTGAGCTTCGATGTGTTATTGTGACTGTTGGAATCAGTGAGTCTAATTCTTTCTTGTTGATTGTTAAAAACATATTTAAATTCTTAAAAGTATGTTTTTCTGCTATTTATTTTTCTTATGTTCTGTTTATAGAACCAACACCAACACCATGTGAGTACGATAAATAAACCATTGAAATGAATTAGAAGAAACGAAAACAAAGTGCTGTTATTTTTATGTGTTGCTCTACGGTCATGTTGATCTCTGGTGCTTCCAGCTCATGTTACTGTTCTGAAAATGAAGATCTCAACAACCATGTCTCTGGAAGACAATTGTGACAAAGTCACGGAAGCAGTGAGTAAAAACCTGAGATTATATGGATTATATTATGCTTTTAACTGTTTTGCACTAGTTTAGTGTTTTCGACAGACTGGAAAAAGTAGAAAAGTATCTTGCATTGCTAGATTATTTTTTTCTTGTCTTTTCCAGATCAAAAAAGAACTGATCAAACGAGGTCTGCCACCAGATATAAATGTTCGCCTGAAGGTTTCAAAGAAGACGCCCTCTAGTGGCTAACCATGAGAACAGATGCTGGAATATTCTTTGTCTTCAGGGATTTGGGATTGTTTTTGTAATGAATCTAAGGATTAATCATTTTATACATTAATTATACTTTAGTGTGAAAATGTATGATAAATATTCAACAAAGACACATTTTATTTATCATTTTGAGTAAACACTGAAGGCATCAATAAATGACCTTAAATATTTTTTCCTGTCTTTCTCAGAACAGGTGGTTTGTTATTTCAGAAAAAGAAAAAGGGGTTTTCTTGTAGCAATGAGATACTGTGTGAAAAAAAAAAGCTTTTTCATTTAGTGATAATGTTTTAAAAGACACTGCTCTATGGCTGTTCACTTTATCCTTCAATATCTTGGTGTTCTGGAGCAGACTATCTTTTTTTTTTTTTAGTCCTACTGATATTTCTAGGCCTGGAATAGTATATATCCAAGTACCATAATTTTCATGTGTGTTCTAAATATTCTGTGTTTAACAAATGTCAATGAGTAACATTTTTTTCCACACATCTAAGACAACTGCTGATCCTTCCATGATTTGGTTTAGCTGAGATTATCCTTTCTCTTTATTGAATTGTAGACAAACGACAATTTTCTAATTTAAGTTTTTTTTGAGATTGTAGGTTACATCAGGGAGTTTTTATTCCCATTTATGCTAAAAATGTCCTATAAAATACTTGTGTTTGCATTCATGCTGAGCCTCAATTTTATTTTCATAGTGGTGAGAAGTAAAGAGGTGTCCTCTGCCTGAGGCAAATGTAGAGCAGAACCTTAAGGCTTAAGTCTACCAAACATTGTGACGATTTGTTTAACCTCAAAAGACTAGAAGCAACAAACATCTATTTTATTGTATTTCAGCTCTGACTGTTGACATCAGTCTCCTGGTTTGATGCTGATTCAGGCCTATTATGAAAATAAATGGCCAATCAACTGGTCCGTTGTCTTCCTGGTTTCTGGCATAAAGGTTTTCATTTTTTTTTATTTTGCTCCCAGCTTTAATTTTTAAGATTTGGAGCTGGGCCCGGTTATGATTTTTTAAAATCTGTTTTAACCCTGGCTAGTGAAATTAAACAATGTGCTGAAAGCCTGAGTTCTTTTAAGTCAAAGTTAAATAACCCATGTGTTTAGAACTGCCTTTGAATTTTAAACTGTTAACTGAGGTATCATTAGTTTAAGTTTGTGGTCCAACTGTTTTATTTAATCATGATTTTATATTTACTTGCTTTTATTTTCCTTCTATTTTACTATTTAGTTCATATAAAAGCACTTTTAGGTTTATTTGTACTGAATTGCGCTATACAAATAAACTTGCCTTGCCTTGTAAAGTTTGTGTTACGCTATTAAATCCTTATTAAACATCTTTGATTTAATCTTGTGATTTCTGAGAGAAAAAAGAAACTTAACTCTCATCTTCTGGAGTTTAGGTCTAAATATTTGCTGGAGGCTTGTGCTAATACAAGATTTGCAAATTATTTCTTGTTCAGACTCTATGTTGCCTTAAAGGAACTTCTATTAGCAATATTTCTCTGTTTGTAGCTTAAACAAGTACATTTATTATTATTTCAACTTTATACTTTATTAGCTAACAAGCTGGGGTTTGAAATTGTGTTTCATTCTGTTGTTCTTCTTTTCTAATCCCACTGTAATTTATAGAGATTTTAAAATGACAAAATCAAAAAGAAAATTAGAAATTAAAATAAATGTTACAAATATGTTTATGTATGAAGTTCAGGTGAAAACGGACTCCTCCATTCATAGGTCAGTATTAGTTGCAGATTATATTCCTGATACATATAAGGTCTTTTACTCCTTTCCCACTGGCCGAAAAAAATGGTATAAACCCAGGAACAATCAGCTTTAGTGGCTGTGGGAACAACTCACAGAGGTGTGTCTAACCGAGTCCAATGACTTGGCAAGGGACCCGTGTAAAAATCGCCTCGGCTCTGATCAGCATGCAGTGGGAACACCAGAGCCGGGCTGACACCATTGAATACATACGGATGTCAACACACTGCGTACCCTGGTAAGACAGAAAATAGAGCTAAACCATAAAGCACACTGACTAAAGCCTGGTTTCTCCACATGTTGCTCTCCATTGTTTACGTTCCTGATTTCTGTCGCACTGTTGACATCATCAATGCTAACCCAGCATGATGGTGTCACCAGACACGCAGCATGAGGAGGACAGAGGCCACACAGCTTGCCAGCTAGGGGTCAGACCCAGCTTTTTTTGCAAATGGGGAGGAAGCCAAATGCTGCTGATAGTTAGCAGTTTGACCCATGTTTGAAAAACACGTGTTAATCTGCAAATTTTAGTGGGAAAGAGGCTATGGAGAGAGGGTGCAGAGATAAAGAGGTCAAGGTTCTTAATTTAGCAGATGATTCGATACTATCCGACTCTCACCAGTTTCCATGAGAAAAACATATTTTTATACAAAATAACTACAACAGCTCTTTGTTAGAGATATGAAGCACAGAATGTGGAGTTCCCTCATTTATGTAGGATTTAAAGTAGAGCTGCCACTGGATGAGGTTCCTTTTTGTTTTGCATACATCTTGAAGGAATTCTAGATGTTCTTTTATTGAAAAACCAATAATAGAACTTGCTGTATGAAAATGATATCTCTTCTCCTGCGAACACCAAGGGATCCCCCAAAAGTGTTGGAGTAGTACTACAGCGCAACACAAAGTCGAAGCACACCGGGCATTCAAACCAAGCTGTCAGCCCCGGGGCTGGTCCGGGAACCCTGACAGACGGGGGCAGGGAGCCAGTGGGGGACGGAGGGATCAAACCCGACCCCGTGACTATAACCTGGACACTGGCGGCCCCGTGCTTCCCTCCGCCTGCTTTACTGGCCCACAGCCCCTCTCCTCTGGCTGAGGAAAGGCAGCTCATGGCTCTCAGCTGAGGTCTGGTCCAGTCAGTGGCCCAGGAGTCGACACTTCATGCTAGCATTGCTATCAAAAGCTTAGCGACCGAGTCATACTTACAGCTTGCTGTTGTAAATGCCTTACGGTCCGAACAGCCCCTCGTTTCAGTGAAAGAAGTTTAGCAAATCCTGCCTTGAACTGTCCAAGATTTTGAAAGCTGTCTTCGGTAAAATGCATAGAGTAAATGAACAGCTGAGCATCAAATTTTGCAGGGTTTTTCTGATAGACAAAAATAAGCCATACATGTTGAGTCCTCAGTTTCTTGAGAAGAGTGTGAAAAATGTCCCCTTTCTCTGTGCAGCCTGGAACACTGCATTTACGTCCATGGTTCTGGCTCATTTTCAATAGAGGAACTGCCTGCTTTGTGATTCTTGTCAAAATAAACCCAACTTTAGGCTAAACAGCTAAACTGGTGTCATACATCTTTGTGACCTCTATTCATGTTCTTGGGCCAGTGAACAAGTGGGCTGGTCTGTACAGGTCCTTCTCAAAATATTAGCATATTATGATCAGTGATGGGACTAACGGCGTTGAAAGTAACGGCGTTACTAACGTCGTTACCTTGTTTTAGTAACGAGTAATCTAACTAATTACTTTGACTGTAACTATAACGCAGTTACCATTGCAGACACCACGTTACTGCGCGTTACTCAGGTCGCACAATGAACCTTTTTTCATGATAGGACTCGTGCGCAGCTGCGTGAAGCTGACACCCCACCCACGTCAAAAAACTCTGCAAATAGACTGAATGGTTAGTGCAACGTTGGTGCAGATTTGTGCAGAAAAAAAATATTGTTTGTGCTACTTTTGTTTAAGAGATATTAAAGATTATTTTTTAGGTCATCCAGAGGTGCGCGCCTTGTCATGAGAGAGGGGAGGATGAGAATGGCTGATGTATAGTGAGATTCCGTCTGTCAGTTGGGTAGGTGGGTGTTTTCGCTGGCGGGTGTTAACGTACAGCACACACAGAGAGATGGAGAGTGACTCCAGCAGCAAAACAGCGTTTTCCAGATGGAAATACCGGTGTTACGTCGAGCTGCGTTTCCCCATCACATACGGTTTCCTCTGCATCTCCGCACAGCGCAGGCGGCACGAGTCACCGCGCAAGCGACAGGAAACGTGCATGCTCGCTAAAGTCGCCCTGTGCTCGCGTCACAGGAGAACTATGGAGAGCGTGAACGATCAAATGATAGCCTATATGGAGAAAGGGACAAATCTGGATGGATGGATGGATGGATGGATGGATGGAAGGATGATGGATGGATGGATGGATGGATGGATGGATGGATGGATGGATGGATGGATGGATGGATGGATGGATACTCTGCCTTTTCAACCTACTGTATTTTTTATTTTAAACATTATTTGATGGCCTTTGTGGCAGGGATGGAGATCCATATTTTATGTCACACACAGAGTATACATCTAGATAGATAGATAGATAGATAGATAGATAGATAGATAGATAGATAGATAGATAGATAGATAGATAGATAGATAGATGTTGCAGTATCTATAACAACCCAAACACACAGGATTTCAGAATTAGACATCCCCAGTTATTAATTTCACCAGATCTGAATGCCCTGTTAAAAAACTTCACATGGCGTTCCCCCCTGATGTCATTTACGTTGAGTTGCAATAAATGCTAAACTCTCTGCAGGTTCTTGTCTTTGTCGTCCACTCTATTCAGCTGGCTTTGGAAACACACGGCGAGAAGGTGGGGGCTGGGTGGTGAGGGTTACACGAGCGAGAAACGCAAAAGTAACGCAATAGTTACTTTTACTCGTAACTAGTTACTTTTATTGTGGAGTAACTCAGTTAGTAACTCAGTTACTTTTTGGGAGAAGTAACTAGTAACTATAACTAATTACTTTTTCAAAGTAACGTGCCCAACACTGATTGTGATAAAGTTAATTATTTTCCATAATATAATGATAATACTTGAACATTCATATATTTTAGATTCATTGCACTCTAATGGAAATATTTAAGGTCTTTTATTGTCTTAATACGGATGATTTTGGCATACAGCTCATGAAAACCCAAGGAAACCAGGAACTAGAACTAGTTCTTATGTTTCACTTATCTGGAACAAACTCCTGAAAGCCTGAGTTTTTTAAATCAAAGTTAAAAACCCATTGTTTGGAGCTGCCTTTGACTGGTAAATGGAGGTATCATTACTAGTGTTGCATTAATACCGATACCAGTATCGGACAGGGCCCTGATCCAGCAGTAAAATGGTGGTATCGGTATTGGCTAGTACCAACAAATAGGGCACTGATACCATTTTTGAGAGCCATCTATTTTTATTATATATAACTTTTCCTGTTATTATAATCAAGAGTTTGAAGCATCAATAGGTGAAAAAAATGTTTTCCAAAAAAAAATATCTCAGTTTTCAATCTTTCAGAGGAAAACTATCCTCATAAACTCATAGTCAAATCAAAATAAAATGCAGCTGAGTAACTTCATGCTATCTAAAAAAATCAGAGCAATGTTCACTGTTCATCACTTTTAGAGGCAGTGATGTAAAAGTTTACTAGATTAACAGAAGGAGGACCAGTGTTTTACTGGTTTACTGGTTTCTATCTGTCCTGTTCCCAGACTGGTTTCAGATAACAGAGGAAAAATATTTTAAACAGGAATAATAAAAGGGAAAAGCAAAATTGTAATCTTTTCATTTTGCTATATTTAACTAAAAGGCCCAACCTCCTATAAAAGGTAAAACAGACACGCTAATTCAATACAATTTTTCAGAATCATCCCTTTGATCCAAAGTTTACAAAATATTAATAGAAACAAAAGTCCTTATGGTTGTTTTTTAAAACCTAAAATGAAGCCAGACAGAAGTCCAACTGATGAACTGAATTATTTACCTTCATCGGCCTCCGAAAAGCAAATCAGCTTTAAAAAACACCTCCAAGCCCAATCAGCATCCAGATTTCATCTTAAAAATCTCCAAATCTACAACTCAGTCTGCTCCCCAGCCAAAACGCAGGCAGTGGTTGTGCTATGTCTGATCTGATTCAGATGACCCCGACTCAACCCACCTCCATCCCCTTCTCCAACATCGTAGCTTCATCTGACTTTTCCATGGTGCTTCTTCTACTTCATCCCCATCAGTAAGTAATTCTTTCAGGGGTCTTACTGCATCCCTTGTCTCATCTCAACAATGCTTCAATTGAATAAGTTTAAATGTCCTGCCTCATTTCCTGCCAGAAGTATTTATATCCTTTCAACTTTTTAACATTTTGCCAAGTTGAAACCACAAATCTCAGTGCAATTCATGATCAACTGAAACAAAATTGTTTCTTCAATCACATATCAAAGGCAAGGTGTTAAAATCATTCAATCATTAAATAAATCATGCAGCAGATGGCTTACTCTTTCTGCGCTATGTGGCATAGCTTCTTGTATTTTACCTAAAATTTGAGAAGTGTGCTTCAGTCTGTATTGCCTGTGACTTTCAGGGCTTCTACAACCTTTTTAATTCCTTTTTGCTTTTTTTAATAAATGCTACCTCTTGGAAAAGTCTCTTTATTTATTGCAAACTTTTGAGCACTATTGAAACAATACCATTAACAGATTTTAAAAATGGATCCGTCTCAAGCACACCAGATGCAACTATGCACCCTGAGGTTGGTTACATCAGAACATCTCCACCTTTCTTGTGTATTTCATTTTTTGTGCTTAAAGCCTGAGTTCTTTTAATTAAAATTTAAAAACCTATTTATTTAGAACAGCCTTTGACTGTTCCTGTTACCTGAGGTTGAAGTTCGTGGTCCAACAATTTGGTTTACTACCTGTTTTATCATGTCTCTATCTTTACTTGCTTTCATTCTGCTTTTATTTTGCTTCTTTTGTAATTTTTATTTCATTCAAAGCACTTTGAATTGTCTATATACTGATCTGTGCCATAAAAATAAACATGCCTTGCAACAATGAACAAAATCTACACAAATTTCTCACAAAAAATACCAAGTTTTACACAAATGCATTTTGAATTACGAGTCAAAGGATTCCAGTTAAACCGGCCCTACGTGTAAATTTATATCTAAACATAGATGAGTCATGCATCCTGCATTACCCTTTGAAAAATATTCAAACAGGTTTCTATCTCTGGCTCTAGACTTTTGTCAATTGGCCAATTGAAATCACCTTCATATAGGGAAATCATGTTTAATACAGAAAAGCAAACAGAATTAAAAATTGGCTTGTATTACATTCATTCAGTAATACAAGAACAGCAACTGCAGGAGATACTGAACCTGTAGCTTTAAGCAGTGACAAATCAACACATGGCAGATTGCCTTCATTCTGAATAAATCTTGGAGTAAATAAACATAAGTAATGATCAGATTATTTAATTCTGAGGTCCATATAACGGGTACATTGAAATTATCAAAACATTTCTGATCCAAACAAATTTCAACCCAATTAAGCAATTTTAGGTGTGTGAAAACATGGAAGTGCAGTAGGTTCTGTGACAAAATAAATATGTAATCTACATAGTGGGTAGATGTTCACTCATTGGCTTTGCTCAAGCATTTATGGTCACCAGATGTGTGATCTTGCGACCATCTTGAGCCAGAAACAACTACAGGGAGCAATGAAGTAACATCTATGTATGCACATCAAAAAAGTTACTATTTTCCATCTACATAATTTTCACAACACACATCTATGTAGGGCATTTTCAGTGGGTGGGGGTCAGGGCCACCGGGGGTGGGGGGTGGATGTTTTATGGGCCTCACCACGGTCGGCCTCCTCCATCCCCTCTCGCATCTAGACATTGTGGGTTCAGGGTTGTCGAAGGGGGGGGTGTGCTGGTACCGTCTATCTCCTGGAGGGGGGGTGGACTGTGCCGGACACCCCCTCTTGGTACTCCCAGTTTTAATTGCATCTGAGAGCAACACGCAACAACACCACATTCGAGCGGGCGCAGGGAGGATCGGGGTCTTCTCACACCCCTGTT